AGGATTCTCAATAATACTATAATGTCACCCTCTACAAAGCATTTCAATATGCATTATCTCCCTTGATCTTTATAACAATGTTTCAAGCAATAATTCTATGGGTATATGATTTTGTTTGGTAGATTCAGTTCCAAAGGGCCCAATGAAAGTTAGAATTTGAGTTTAATCTAGAGAGAGGAAGCATAAACTCTGCATATGTATTCTCTGTAGGAAGATAGCATCTCTCTACATCCCAGGGGTGTAGCCCCAGATACAATTCAGGTATTTAGAGTATGCCTTGTCATGCCCTTTTACCCTTACTCCTTATGGACATGCCATGACTTTATCTTTTACTACCATGATCACCACTCCTGGGGCCTCTTTTCAAATGGCTCAACAAGAAGGCAGAGGGGGTAGGATGGGGCACTACCTAAATTTGGAGTCTAGAGACTTAAATTCTAAGCCCAATTTTGAGATAGTTTGACGTCTGACTAACATCATCTGTTAAATGACAAGGAAGGTGGATGACAAGATGATCCTTTGGGTTTGGATTATAATCCCAAAAAACACAATCCCAGATTCCAAAATCCACAATGTTAAAATCCTGAAAGATCGGTATCCTTAAAGTCTAAATTCCTAAAGTCTACAATTCCTAACATCTAAAATCCTGAAAAATCACAATCACAAATTGGTTGCATCATGTTGGCCAGGCTGGTCTCAGACTCCTGACCTCAAATCCACACACCTTGGCCTTCTCTTACTGTCTTTATGCTGAAGAAAATGAATTTCAGATGAATCCCCAAACCATAATGACAGATTTGGAATTAGGTGTAATTAAGGTTTCTAAAAATAAATTTCAAGGTGTTTCCAATAGTTTGTTTTTTTCCATTAACCCCAATGTATTTGACAGAAAATTAAGATGAATCAATTGGCCATGAGGTAAGGCAACGAAGAAAACTTCAGTTTGAAAATAGTTTGACAATAACTGGGAAGACTTTTTAAAAATAACAATGGAATTGGTATAATTGGGATTGCAAATTAAAACTTGTAATTAAGAGAGAAGATGGAGTGTATGTAGAAGGGCTGTTAAAAATGTAAAACTTGGTTGCATTATTTGTGGAGGCTCAAACTTGTGAAGGTTAAATACCATAATTTTTCCATTTGTTCTGCATTTTGATTCTGAAAAGAAAGCTGGCTTTGCCCATTTCTTATTAAAAAAACTTGTTGTAAATCCAGTTGTCTAATGGGATCTATATGAAGTTAGCCATGTCTGTATGCCCTTCTCTCACAAAATACCGTATAACTAGTGTGTTTGTAGTAGTTAACTCCACTGTCTTTGTAAGCGAATGAAATTGTGAGTCACCCATTTATATCTTAATTTTTAATCATGTCAGTTCTTGAATGGGTATCTCCTTAGCCTGCTGATTTCTTTTTCTTTCTAAAGAAAGTGGGTGGAGAAATTAATTTAGACGTTTGTTTGCAATAAAAAGAATTCATTTTACTCTTGTTTTGGGATTCTCGCCATCAAGGTTCAAAATCCCTTTATAAACTCCCAAGAGGAGAAATTTTAAGTGTGTGCTTTCTGGACAGCTTATTCTTTACTCTGCATAGAACATTTAGGTTTTAAAAACTTAAATGTACACTGACAATTGATAAATAATTATGAAGTAAAGTTGAATTCTTCCCTTCCCCTCCCCCCCAGACAACTTTTAACATATTTAATGAGGGGAAAAGGTACTGGCTGGGAGAAGTAAACACTTGAGTTTATCGTCATTACAGAATGCTAATGCTGTCCTCAACTGATTATTTTATATACATATATATGATACATGAAACTCTGGGAACAGATGCTTTTAGAAGCCTTCATGCAAGCCAGTCATTGATGTCACTGCTACACAACACTGCTAACTTGACTGTAGCTATGTAACATTAGATCCCCTAATTGTAATTATATTGGGTTTGCACAGAACACTTTAATCTTCCCCTCACCAATGTGAAGTGAGGAATGAGGAGTCAAACTGTAGAACTAAAATTTGACTTCAGTCTAGTGTTTCCTTGGTGTTTTGAGGTTGCTTTTGGTAAGTTTAGGTTTGCTATATTTCTGATTGGTTAGAATTTTGTTTTAGCCCTTTAAAATCAGATTTTCAATATGAATTTATACTCCTAAGGAATTTTCTTGCTATAAGCTGGAGTTTTAGGTGATGGTATAGGTTCAGTTGAGAAGCTTTTGGAACAAAGGCTAGTCCTTAGTTAACATAGGATATTTAACAGTCAAAGGTAGTGTCATGGGTTTTTAACTTTTTTAGCCAGTAACACTAAGAAACACTGGCCTGAGCTACTCTTCATTATTAGGAATGCATAGGCTTACCTAAAGAACAGTTTCAGGCTTTGAAAGCTAGTCAATGTTCAGGTGTCCTGAAGTTTTCATTTGTGCCTTTAAAAAGTCTTAGATGCTGGGCGTGGTGGCTCATGCCTGTAATTCTAGCACTTTGGGAGGCCAAGGTGGGTGGATCACCTGAGGNTTATGCTATGTATTTTTATCTTTGCATCATTTTAAACACTGTAGGTATGCATTGTGTAAAAACTTGTAGAGACTTCTATTTTGTTTTATGCATTTTTTGAAATGTGACTCTCCATGAAAATGTATTATTACAACATTGACTTTGTATGTAAGCTTTATGTGTGTACATAAAAACTTCCAACTGGATGCAGTGGCTTATGCCTGTAATTCCAGGACTTTGGGAGGCCAAGGTGGGCAGATCACCTGAGATCAGGAGTTCAAGACCAGCCTGGCCTGTTGGCCTGTTACTATGCACCATGTTTGGTGAAATGCTGTCTCTAGTAAAAATACAAAAAACTAGCCAGGTGTGGTGGCATGTGCCTGTAGTTCTAGCTACTAGGGAGCTGAGTCAGGAAAATTGCTTGAACCCAGGAGATGGAGGTTGCAGTGAGTCAAGATCATGCCATTGCACTCCAGCCCAGGCAACAAGAGTGAAACTCCATTTCAAAACAAACAAAGAAAACCTTAATAAGTGAGGAGATATATTTTGTACATCTGCATTTGTGAGAGAGAAATTTCTCAAGTTCTTGGTTTTTCAGTGATTGACTCAGGGTTGATGCGGTGATGATTCACTGCAGTTTGTTTTGGTTTTGGTTTATATATTTATTGCATTTTAGATTCTGGGGTACATGTAAAGAGCATGCAGGATTGTTACATGCAGTTTTTTTTTTTTAATCAGTCTTGTCAAAAGACAGGTTGTTATATTTCAAGTGATTGCAGTTATAAAGCTGGGTACACACAATTACAAACCATAGTGATGTAAGTTTCTCTTTTTGACATATTACTTTATGAATATGGTTCATTTGCTCATAGCCGGTATACCTATGTGACTGTTAATATACCTGAGTGTTTATGCTTACAAAAATATATATGTTATTATTGCCTCTTTTATTATATAAACTGTCCTATGACATGTTCTGTCCTGTGTTATAAATTTCTCAAATCCCCCTTTTAAAATGTAAATAAATATATTTTAAAGAATTAAAGAATTCCTTTCATAATTATATTTTCATGATTTTGATCTTTTGGGATTTAAATATTTGGGATTATGGCACTCAATATTGTGCCTTTTCGGATTATAATTGGCTCTTCAGGGACTTGCAACAACAGCTAACTTTTCCACAGCTGAAGGAGAGAGGCATTTCGGCAGCCAGTTGGGAGAGGGAGCCTTGCTAGAGAAATCACTGGTAAAAGCAGTAGCTGTGGAGGGGCACAGTGACTGCCACAACTGCCTAAGTCTGAAAGAGGTTGAAGGAATAAATACCATGTCCTCACTCTCCTCCTGCCCTCCATGCTGTCACTGGTGCCTCCCATTAGCCAAACCCAACAGGAGCCAGATGGCAGAGGAGCCCCTGATGCACAATGCAGGACTCAGCCTTTTGGGGCACAGAGAAGAGCAGAGCAAAGTTGTTGGTAGAACTGGGAAGATGGAATACAACTCTCACAGGCCCCAGGTCATGATTTTGTTGTTCTTTTTCAAGTGACAGGCTCTAGCTACAGTTTGATTGTTTATTTCTTTAAACAGCCTATATTTCCACCTCTATTTGCAAATGGTCCCTGGAAATCTGCTGATGGAGCCACCCATTTCACATAACAGCCAGTTTCTCTACAATAGCTGACAGACATCGCACTTTATTTGGTGACTGGTTGAACTTTATAAACTCAGATTTATAAACTAGTGCCATAATTCTGGGGGAGAATAAAGTTCTATCAGTAATGTAGCATTTGTAGACCTTTTAAAATAGGTGATATTAGCAAAAATTATAACTTGAGTAACATGTGTTAAGGGTTGATGAGCTTATAATGGGGAAACATTTAAGTGGTTGGAAGTTTACAACTAGTATTTCAAGAGAAAGCATGAAGAATAAATATTCCCGATTTTGATCTTTGTAAGAATCAATATATTTGTATTTATTGGGGAGTTTGTGTGTATGTGTGTGTGTGTCCTGACTAATGAGTCCTATCTTATTCCAAATAATAGATAAAATGTAATCAAATGCTTATGAAGCAAAATACCATGTTATACAATCTCATATCTGTTCAGATCTCATGCATAAGTGGTTTATTGATTAGTGAGGCGTTCATACCGTCTAGAGACCAGAGGACACAAGGCAGGGTCACTGCTGTTGGAATAGGAGGAGGCAGGATATTTCACTCGGGCTCAGAGTAGCCAGGAGCATAAAGGACCTGACCCTCAAGGGCTGGGTGGGATTTAGAGAAGGGACAGAGGGGATCCTTGATGGAACGAGGCTCCCTAGAACCTCACTTGGGCCCTGCTCTTGCACAGTGATATAGCTCACAGGGAGACAGTCTAGCAGGGGTGTCCTTCTGAAGCAGAAGCAGGAAAAGGCAAACAAGCTGTATTTAACCCTGTCTCTGAGTCAATCACCTGTAGGGATTTCTTCCTCTTTGCTTTTTCATTTGCTTTGATTCTGTTTCTCTTGTGTTCTTTTGTGATGAGAGTCTCCCCTCTCCACTCAGGAGGGATTTGAAAATTAACAAAGAGGAAGTCATATGAGGGTCTCAAGCTCACTTCCTTCAGAGTCACAGCCTGTGGCTTGTGTGAAATGGACACGTGGGACCTGAGTAACCTGCCCCTTAAATGTCACCAGCTCATCTTGGATTCCACTGTGAGAAGTCATGAGGCAAAGAAAAAAGTGGGAGAACTGTCCTTACATTGGGGTCTTTTAAAATATATTTAGTGTATCTTAAGAGAAAAGGAAGACATTTGAACTTCATGTCTATAACTAGATGCAGTCTTTTCAAGTTACGACTTGCCAATGTAACCATTATTTGGTCCTTTTATGGTAAAACCAAAACATTGTAATATAGATACTGTATTTTTTTTAAAGTTTCCTATTAAAATTAATAGAATGAGTTAATCCCTGCACAGAAGTTGATAAGTGTTGACATTCTGCGTGGCACATCCCTGCTATTATCTTATGAAATGCATAGTTTTGGAGTTGGTTGAGATGGTATTGGTTGTGATACAAACATATAGTCATTTTATTTATAATTATGATTTATAAATACCTTCACTTAATTTTAAATGCAATTTATTTGTCTATTTTGTTGTATATAATTCTTAAAGCTACCTATTTCAATCAAAATCTACAAACTTGTAATATAGTATCTGGATTTACAGACCCCTGACTCTTCGTTAACTTCTTGAGTTATAAACAAGGTACCAAAAGTCTCAGTTGATAGATGAAAACTCTTCTGCTGGATTTATGCACTCTAATCAAGAGCCCTGGTGTAAATCATTGTCGAGTTTACGAATTTGTGCATTAGTTAGTGATTTGACTGTATAATCTGAAAATACCTTCTCTCTTAACTAGTAAATTCCCATTTATCTTTTTAATACCTGGTGCATTCTGATAATTTGTTACTACCAAGTGCTGATCTATTAGAACACTGTAATATATTTTATAACATAAATTTTAAAGGTTTTGAATTAGATACACCAAATTTTTGAAACTCTATGGCTGAAAAACAATTATCAGAAGGAAAAATTAAATTTGACATCTAACATCCTTGAAAACAAAACATAGAATGCTGGCCATAAGAATATTTATTCTTTGTTTCTATACTATCTCCTCATGCCCTGTATTAGAAGTTTCCTTTTTAAACAAGTATGTAAAATTGTTGGCTGGACCTAAGCAGACTTCCAAAGGAAAAGAAGTACTAGTGCTTGACCTGGACATATTGATATGATTGAAACCACCTTTGCAAAATTATGACTGAGACAGTAAAAGAAATCTAACTGAATTGAATCTGTCTTGCTTCTAACCTCCAAGCTGTCTTTGTTCCTTCCTGGGCATAGGCTGAACTAACTTTGGAGAAACTCAGTTTATAAACAATGATAAAAGCCCTTTCCCAAATCAGACCTCCCTCTTGTCTGGGACTAGACTGCCTTTGTAAGACTAATGTTAGCCACAAGATTAGAAATTATGGTTTAGGAGTCATGCAGCTGGAGACTACAAGATTCTGACCCTCCCTAAACTGCTCCAAAGATCAGTGTTTGAAATATTTTGCAGACCCTGCACTTGGTGGTTCAGCTGGTACCACCCAGATCAATAAGCTGGCTCATCTGATCTTGTGGTCCCACCTAGGAACTGACTCAGTACAAGAAGATAGCTTCAACTCCCTATGATTTCATTCCTGACCAATCAGCACCCCTGGCTCACTGGCTTCCCACCACCCACCAACTTGTCCTTAAAAACTCTGCTCCCAGCCAGGTGTGGTGGCTCATGCCTGTAATCCCAGAACTTTGGGAAGGTGAAGCGGTGGATCACAAGGTCAGGAGTTTAAGACCTGCCTGTTCAAAATAGTGAAACCCCGTCCAAAAAAAAAAAAAAAAAAAAAATAGCCAGGCATGGTGGCGGGTGCCTGTAATTCCAGATACTCAGGAGGCTGAGGCAGAGAATTACTTGAACCAGGGAGGCGGAGGTTGCAGTGAGCCAAGATTGTGCCACTGCACTCCAGCCTGGGTGACAGAGCAAGACTGTCACAAAACAAGAGAAAGCAAACCAAAGCAATCCAAAATAAAACAAAACAAAAGAAAACACCAAGAAACAAACAAAATGCAACTCTGCTTCCCGAATGCTTGGAGAGACTGCTCTGAGTAATAATAAAACTTCGGTCACCTGTATAGCCAGCTCTGTGTGAATTAGTCTTTTTCTATTGCAGTTCCCCTGTCTTGATGAATTGGCTCTGTCTAGGCAGTGGGCATGGTGAACCCCTTTTGGGCAGTTACATGATTACTGTGTACTAAGCCCCTTGTTGAATTTTGGAGAGCCTGCATGATTTCACAGTTTTTCCTCTCTTCCATTTGTGCTTTTCACTCTCTGGTACATGTTTGAGTTTAAATCTCAGCTTGGGGAGCTCAGAGCACTTGTTGAGCAGTGTATTAATTACATATCTGGTTTTTTAAAATTACATATCTGTTAAAGCTATTTATTGTGTCCCTGGTTGAAGGATTTATGTTTATCGGTGTAATGCTTTTGCCTACTGGTGACTGAACTACTGCCCACTGTCAGTGAAAATTGCTCCTATAGAGGATTACAGCAAGGCCTGAGGCCACTGATTAAGGATTAGCATTTTAGAATAATAATGTTCTTCAAGTGTTATATACAATTAAAAAGAATGATGTTCCTCTTTAGTATATCAAATTTAGCCAATCTATGTGACTCACTTTGTTCCTTAGGTTCATGTAGTTCACATTTATACTTTTCTTCCCCTCAAGGTGATATATGGTGTCACATGGTGATATTTACTAGAAGTTTTATCTTACTGAATTTTCAAAAGTTGAAAGCTATCTAAATTGGGCAATAAAAGGCATATATATTCCTTTGGGTGAACTACCAAAGCAGTAGACAGAAATGATTACCTTGTAATCTCTACCCAGCTCTGAACTTTGTAGGTATCTTGAGCATTTGGGGCAAGAAAACATGATGGGTGGCTAATTTGCTGTACAGCAGTTGGGATTTACCATAAAGTATTTTTTCACAAAGCATTTTTTAACAATACAGTTGTTAAAGGAATGTAGTCCACATATATTTTTTAAAGGCCTCCTTTGAGACTATCTGTGAGCATACCACAGGGATTGAGGTGTTGGACACATGAAGGAACTAACACAATTTCTGGAAGTTCAACATGGTCTGTGTGCTCAAGGGGAAGTCTTGGTAGCAAGGTGAGATTAAAATTAAAACAAGTAAATAAACTACAGAATATTTTTCCTAGAAGTTCTGGGTCTTCAGCTAGATTTCCCTGCTGAGTAGATGAGCGAGACACTGCAAGTCTTATCACATTTTCAGGGTCTTAATTTATCCACTCTATATAGAGTGAACTTGATTAACGAACATTTATTGAACACGTATTATTTTCCAGGTATGGTTGAAACTATGGGGAAATGAGTGATCATTTAAATTACAGTCCCACTTCATGAAATTAAAGTCTTTAAGAGAAGACAGACATTTTCACAACTAACAAGATTGCATATATATTAGAGAAGATTTTTTAAAAAATATTGCCACAAATAGAACAGAAAGACCTCAATAACCATACATGAAAAATAATGCAATCTTTGCAAAAATAGCCTAGAAAGTCACTAAAAATACCACCTAAAACAATAACCACAACTGACAAGAAGCAACAACAAATCATGGAAAGGAAGTAGAATCTGATTTCTATAGTTACCATATTGTAATATTTTTAAAGTATTAACAAAAAGTATAAGGCACACAAAGAAACAATAAGTATAGTTCATTCCCAGGACAATAACAAATTAATAGAAATTACCTCTGGGGAAGCACAGATATTGGACATGCTAGACAAAGACTTTAAATCAACTGTCTTAAATGTGCTCAAAAAACTAAAGGAAACCTTGGGCAAAGAAATAAAGGAAACCAGGAGAATAATGGCTTGATAAATAGAGAATACTAATAACAACAAACATAGAAATTATTTAAAAAAACAGAAATACTAGCAAACCAATTCAACACAACATTAAAAAGATTATTCATTATGATCAAGTGGCATTAATCCAGGGATGCAAGGATGGCTGAACATATCAATCAGTATGATACATCATATCAACAGAATGAACAACTGAAGGACAAAAGTCACATGATCCTTTATATTTATTCTGGAAAAAAGCATTGGATAAAATTCAACATTCTTTCATGATAAAAACCTTAAAGAATTGGGTATAGAAGAAACATATTTCAATACAATAACAGTCATATATGACAGACTCGAAGCTAGTATCAACCTGAATGGATAGAAAAGTGAAATTTTTTCTCTAAAATCTGGAACCTGACAAGGATGCCCCATTTCACCACTGTTATTCAACATAGTACTGGAAGTTCTAGCTAGAACAATCAGACAAGATAAAAAAATAAAAAATAAATAAAGGGCATCCAACTTGGAAATGAAGAAGTAAAATTATCCTTGTTTACAGATGATACAATCTTCTATTTGGAACTGACAAATTCAGTAAAGTTGCAGGATACAAAATCAACATACGAAAATCAGTGACAGAAACGAATCTGTACATCTACAATGAACTCATTTTCAACAAAGGTTCTGTGAACATACATTGAAGAAACAATAGTCTCTTCAATAAATGGTGCTGCAAAAACCAGATATCCATATGAAAAGCATGAAAATAGAATCCTATCCCTCACCATATACAAAAATCATGAATGGAAGACTTAAATCTAAGACTTAAAACCATGAAACTCTTAAAAACATGCATTGGGGAAAGTATCCAGGATATTGGACTGGGTAAAGATTTCTTGAGTAATACCCCACAAGCACAAGCAACCAACATCAAAATAGACCAGTGGGATTTCACTGAGTTAAAAAAGCTTCTGCACAGCAAAGGAAACAGTGAAAAAAGTGAAGAGACAACCTAAAGATTGGGAGAAAATATTTGTAAACTATCCATCTGACAAGGGATTAATAACCAAGATATATAAGGAACTCAATTCTATAGGAAAATAAACTAATAATCCAATTTAAAAATGGGCGGAAGATCTGAATAGACGTTTCTCAAAATATGAGATACAAATGGCAATCAGGTATATGAAAGGGTGCTCAACATCAGTGATCATCAGCTAAATACAATGTGAAATTACACTGAGTTATTATCTCACCCCAGTTAAAATGTGTTTCATCCAAAAGACAGGCAATAATGAATGCTCACAAGGATGTGGAGAAAAGAGAACCCTTGTACACTGTTGGTGGGAATGTTAATTAAAACAGCCACTGTAGAGAACAGTTGGGAGGTTCCTCAAAAAAACTAAAATTAGAGCTACCATATGATCCAGCAGTCCCCCAGCTAGATATATACCCAACAGAAAGGAAATCAGTATATTGAAGAGATATTTGCACTCCCACATTTATTGCAGCAGTACTTACTATAGGCAAAATTTGGAAGCAACTTAAGGGCTCATCAACAGATAAACAGAAAAGAGTGGTACATACACACAAGAAAGTATTATTCAGCCATAAAAAAGAAGGAGATCTTATTATTTGCACCAACATGATTGGAACTGGAGGGCATTATGCTAAATGAAATTAGGCATAGAAAAACAAAATTTGTATGCTCTCACTCATTTGTGGGAGCTAAAAATTAAAACAATTGAACTCATGGAGATAGACAGTAGAAGGATAGGTACCAGAGGCTAGGAAGGGTAGTTGTAGGGAAAGGGATGATAGTTAATGGGAACAAAATATAGTTAAATAGAAAAAATAAGATCTAGTATTTGATAGCACAACAGAGTGACTACAGTCCCCAATAATTTATTGTACATTTTATAATAACTAAAACTTTATAAGGTTAGAGACCATGTGTGA